ATATTACAATATAATTTAATTTTAAGTAATAATAAAAAAATTTGTAGTTGCTGAAGAAGTCCCCAGTAAGGGACGAAACGTTCAACAAGGTCAAAATAAATTGTTCATCAAATTTATTAACTGTCTTTTACTCCCTTTGAAACTTATATATTAATATATTGTTTGGACAAGAATATTGATAATTATATGATAAATGTTGGTTCCTTGATAATGTAGTATTCATTATTTTAATGTAATTTAATTTTTGTTTTTTAGTTTTTATTTTTTTGGTTAAACGTTTGAGTGCTGAGAAGCGCTATCGCGCTTCTTATTATGTCGTGCCAAAAATGCGAAAAGCGCGATAATGTTACTGTATTTCAATTAGTGTCGCAATTTTGGCATATGTTAGAAAATAATACGTCAGCAGTTAAACGATTAAATATGTTTAACAAAAATTATGTTATTCGGTATTGCTGAAGTATTAGATACAATGTTTGTACAAACGTTTATAGAATTTTTCTATAGTATTATAGAATGCTTTGTTGTAGGAAAACTACCTGTATTATTAGCATTATTCAATTTTTAATTAACCCTTTATGGTTTTATATTGTATGGGCGTTTATAAACGTTTATTTTTAATTGTGTTTCATGATACACTTATGTTACTTTTAAATTAATTCATCATATATTATTAGATAACTCTTGTTAAACAAGTTTGAATTTGAAACATTTAAACATTCCTAATACAATCAAGTACCAGATATATTTCCGGAATAAATTTGGTAAAGGGTTTTATTGGGTTTCTCTATATTACAAATATGCATCAAACAGGAAGCAGAAATCTCTCGAGAGCGGTTAACTTCAAAGAATCTTTCCAAGGGATTTCTTTTTATTTTTTTTTTTTTTTATTCTGTTTGCGTGAATTGTATAATCTATATATATATATATAGATATCCGCCCTTTCAGCCCTTTTCCCCCATTCCCACCGAATGTAAGGTATGTAGGAAGTTTTTAGTTGGTAAGTGGTTAGTTCTGGGACCGGCACAACCCGGAATTTGTCTTTTCAGGGCCCTGTTCGGGTTGGGACTAGTCGATATCCAGGAAATCAGGCCTGGTATGTCTTTTGAAAATTTGTCTCTTTGTCGAATTAAACGAACAAACAAACAAAAAAAAACGAACATTTCAAAGGGTCCCTAATACCGAGGGTACCTAAGAATGTTGGGAACGGTTCAAAAGATATTCTCTTACACGATCTTATTTTTATTATTATTATTTTTTATAAGAAGTTAAATCATTTTTCTTAGATGTTAACGTAAAAAACCGAAATTGAATATTATCAAGATTTACATGGTGACGAATATCAACCCGTACCAAATATGTCGTTTAATATATACTTAAAAAAAATATATATATATATTACACACACACATACATATATATATGTATAAAAATAATTTCGTTGAAATAATAAAAAGTGAATGATAAAATAGGTCAACGGAATAAAGAAATTTAAACGTTAAAACAATGTAGTGTTAAAAATTCATGCATAGTGTTATCTATTTTTCTTTCTC